GAAACGGAGTCGAGGACGGAGACGGAAGAGTGATAAGTATCGCGGATATGGGGTGGGTACTAGAAGTTGGGTTGCCGTTACGGGGTCTACTTTCTTTGGGGATAGTTGCAGGGCTTCTAGTTCGTCAACGAGGTCATCGTCTCCGTCGTTTCCTAAAATATGGCCACCGTCGCCGTCGTCGCCGAGGGGTTTCCCGTCGAGTTTACAAGCCCAGGAGTAGTGCATAGCTGCGAAACCGAATTCGGGACCCAGGCATATGCGCTTCCAGATTCGATCTTCGGTTATTATGAGGTAGGCTAGGCGCTTGCATACTTGGGCAAGGCGGACATAGGATGCAAGGTCTTGAACGGCTACATATTCCAGTATCTCGACGAGTAATTCTTCTGGGATAGTTACGATAGGACATGGTGGAGGTGGCGAGAGGTCTGTTGGTGGTGGTTCCCCTTGGATGGAAGATTGGGAGAATCCTTGGATGAGGGATTGGAAGGTTGGTGAGAGGCCTTTTAGGGAATGATGGGCAGGATTAGCGGGGGAAGGCGAGGAGGCATTTGAGGGGTTGGGATCCTGGGATTTGATTTGAGGTTTGGGTGGAAAAGCAGAAGGCGGAAAATATTTGTTCTTATATTTCTGATGGACATTTTCGTCGAGCTGAAAATAAGATTAGCTTGAGAGGCTTAGGTAAATGGTATGAGGGATGAGCACCCTGAAGGCCTTGCGGTAGAGATTCACGCTGTCTCCTAAACTGCCTTGGGTCTCCTTCTCTACGGCTTTCTCGTAGTGTTCCAAAGCTGACCGCGGCTCTTTGCTGGAACCCACAGAAGCAGAACCCTCGTCATCTAACCTCCTTCCTGGTTGTACCTCACCATAATCACGGTGTGCATGAGGGTCTATTCCCTCATCTTCCTCCAAACTCTTATGGCGGGCGTGTGTGGGGATTTCGGGCGCATTGCTCTTAGATGGACCCTTGCTCGAAGATGCCTCCGTAGATTTTGAGGAAGATGCAGGCGCTGAGGTCTTGCTTCTTGTCTTCGCGGTGACTTCCTCTCTCCATCTTTGGCGGAAGTTCTCAAGCTCAGCTTCGGTAGAGTCCATAGTGGTCGAGGCGGATGAGGTCACAAGTAGGGGAGGCTGATATCGATCTCAATGAGGAATTTTTAGTGGGACTTAGGGGTTCTAGTACGAGTAGATGCACATTTACAAAGTGGATGCTGACTGTACAAAACCATGAATTGATAGGAATAATGGCAACAGAGTCAGAGTTGTGGACGGCGAACGCCACCACAGCCATTCCATCTGATAACGGCCCTAGCTTATCTCCGAACCACTCACGTCACTGTATCGCAACGCTAAAACTTTCCAAAGTTTCTGGCCCGAGCTTAAGCGATGGATCGATCCGCCTTCATGACGCTCTCATCGTTCTCCTTCACCACCGGCTTATTAACCAAGGATCATGTCCACATCAGCCTTCGCCCCTCACTGGATATTACTCACACCTCGTTCACATACGTGGTAGAGCTGCCATATATCGCTCATCTGGACTTGCTGGCTTCACAATGGCCACAGACAAAGCCGAGGATGTTGTTGGAGATGGGGTGTCGCTGGTGCAGAAAATGGCGTCTGCAGTGACGGGGAGCGTTTTGACATCGTTACTGGGTATGTCCCCTTTCATCTGATACTGCGATTTTATAACCATACGGCACATCTGATGAGGTTGGCCTGCTTTCGGAGTATTTACAGATATCTTCCCCGAGCGCAAATCCTCCTCCTTCATCGTGACTCATTCATAACATTCAAGCTAACAGATACATGCAGTCACTCCTCTGGACGTAGTACGAGTGCGCCTCCAATCTCAAGCACATATCCCGAGCACCTCTATCTCGCAAGCACCGCGAGGATACGCGCCTCCCCTTACACTCACACAATTTCGCGATTTGCCGCCTAACCTTGGAATAACGGCCTGCTGTCGAGAGGTCTTTTGGGTTAATAATCATGCGCCATATTGCGTTGCTGGGCCGACTATAGCTCCTATAAACCCTTCCGCTACCGCATGCGCCGTAGATGAGGTGCAGAGAAGAACGATCAATAGTACGTGGGACGGACTGCGCAAGATCGCACAACATGAAGGACCGAGTACATTATGGCGCGGATTATCGCCAACTTTGGTTATGGCGGTACCCTCCAATGTCATATATTTCGCTGGTTACGACTGGCTACGGACCGCTCCGCAGTCCCCCTTCAAAACAACTATACCGGACGCATACGTTCCCCTAATAGCGGGCGCCACTGCCCGTATTCTGGCTGCAGGGGCTGTCAGCCCGATCGAGATGTTTAGGACGCGGATACAAGCAGCCAGCCACACGGCCACGGCTGCTGGACACTTCCGCGAAACCTGGGATGGACTTCGGGAAATGGTCGCCACTCAAGGCGTTCGTAGTCTATGGAGAGGTTTGACCTTAACCCTATGGCGAGACGCTCCTTTTTCTGCCATCTACTGGTGGGGATACGAGACCGGCCGCAATGTCCTCGTAGATATCCGAGGTCGAGCAGAGGCCAGAAATGAGGGCTTAGAGTTCCGCATGGGCCGTGGAGAAGAGAGAATACGGAGAAGGAGCCAATCACGGAGTCGTGAAGACCACACAAGCACTCTCATAGACAGCTTCATCGCCGGGGCTGCTTCAGGCGCTGTTGCTGCTCTCATCACTACTCCCTTTGACGTTGGCAAAACAAGACAACAGGTTGTGCGGCATACGAGTGACGCTACTACACACCAAACTTTCAAGGTTGTTCGACCGGAGGACAAATCGATGCCGCGTTTCTTGCTGCATATTTTCCAAGAACAGGGGTTGCCAGGCCTCTTTAAGGGATGGGCTGCGAGATGTCTGAAAGTGGCACCGGCTTGCGCTATCATGATCAGCAGTTATGAAGTCAATAAGAAGATGTGGACCGATAACAATGAACGCAGGGACGCCCGCAAAAATGCTCTTGATGAAGCCTAGGCAGTTTGGATATCACCTTTCCCCAATTTCTCGCTTAAGCAACATTTCGGATCCTTCATCACATATCACCTATTCCCGTAGATCGGAATTACCAGGCGGGGCCCTTTTGATCTTAGACGCATTGTCCAGCAAGCATTTTCGTTTTGTCATTTGGAGTCCTGGGGCGGAAAATTCTTCTCCTGCATTGAGCATGGCATCGGCGTTCAGTAGGTTGCTTTTCTATCCGTCTCGGTTGGAAAAGTTGGATGTATGATACCAGCGAGCGCATATTTGTCTCTCAGGTTAGCCAGCGCATGTATATCAGCAGTGTTACATTATGATCCAATAAACAAATCAAGAAGTCCATATCTTCAATGCCTATGTTGCGGTGTGTTGTTTATAGAGCCTTGACATTCAAGAATATGAATGTGAGGAACATGCTAACGGCCTTTGCCAATGTTTTGAGAAGAGCTGTAAACTGTTTTTCTAGTTTGAAAGTGCCAAAACCATAGTTCAGTCACGTCCAGTTCCGCATTCAATGTGCTTATGCTTGGCACCTGTGATGTTTGTCCCTACATGCCGGCGCGGAAGAACTTCGCCTCCGACCTCACCTCAACGTGACACCCAAACACTTCCACAAGAATAGCCCACCCACGACGCGACAATGCTCGATATAGAAGATTTCGAAGCCGTTTTCAAGAAGCGGCCAAATGAGCACCCTGGCTTCCCCGCAGCTGTTCAAGAAGAGATAGCCAGGCACCGGCTTCGACTTGGAGGCAAGCTCTTCTTTGACCGGCTATGTGAGCTCCTTCAGCTGGACAGTAAGCCTCTCCTCAGCTCCTTCACATACAATTCCCGAAAACTAACAGCATTCAGTCGGCCGCCTCTACCCTCCCCACTCCAACAAGCAAATCCGCGCCCTCCATTCCCTCATCACGACCTCCGCCCTCCCCCTCCACAACAAACACTGCCTCCTCTTCTACATCCTCAAAGACCTCTCCCCCTCGACACACACAGATGCCGACATCGCCACCGCATTCGCAGCCGCAGTTCACCTCCCCACGCGCTACTGGACCTTCCTCGAAGGCCTCTGGGCCCTCGACGCCCTGAATTGGGAGACCGCTGTCGGTTTCCTCACGCACCCGTCCATCATCCCGACTTTCCCCGATGAAATCATGAGCGCGCTGTTGGAATTTATGGAGAAGGGGAAGATGGAGGGCGAGATGATGGAGGATGGTTTGCCGATGGCGTATTATTCGGCTACGAGGCCGCCGCTGGTGAGGGAAGGGGTTAGGGAAGCGTTTGTTAGGTATATGACGAGGCGCAGCGTTACCGAGACGTTCTACTGGATTCGCGCACGGCCGGATTATGAGCAAAGGCAATTGTTTGAGGTTATGGTTCTGCAGACGCTGGAACGGAATGGGGTGACGGGGTTGGAAGAGCGCGCGGATATGGTGCAAGAATTAGTCGGTCTGCCGTTCAATGACGACGAGGAGCAGTGGTTTGAAGATTTCTTGGTCGAGGGACTGGGTAGGAACTGCCCGGGGGCTAGGGATACGGTTATGGTGAGACGGATTACGACAGGCAGGCTAAGGGAAGCGGTACATGATTCGGGGTTGAGGGGGAAGAAGCTTATTGATCTCGATTGGGATGTATTGAAGGATGGGTTGAGGAGGGGATTGGGACCGAGGGTTGAGGTCGAAACACCATTTGTGGTATCCTGAGCGGTTGCGCCATGGGTACTCGGTACCTTGGTCCCGTTTTCTCATTTTGGGCATAGCGAACGGCGTCGGCGTTAAGGATGTCATGGTACCATTTAATAAGCTAGGTAAAAGGAAAAATAACCATGGGCTTTGATTTCAGGCCCTTGCTCATGATTCGAACTAGCTAGCCAACTATTTTCCCATCTCTTTTATAGTTCACCCGGGAGCACTCTCTCTTCAGTCTAGAATCCACTCGGCTTCACTCTAGCCCCTTCATTTCATAATCGAAGTCTTGCGCAAGCTCTATATTAAATTAATGTTGTCCTAGATCGTCTAGTGGTTAGGGCACGAGTTTGCCACACTCGTGCCCAGGGTCCGATTTCTCTGTCAAGGAGGTTTTCTAGTCGCGGTGTAGCTGGTTTCTTTTCAAGATCCGGAATATTTACTTTATCTAGAATGGGTGGGGTTATTAAAGGAGGTAGAGACAAGTCTATTTGATATTGAATCTGGGATACGGGGGGGGGGGGGCGGAATTGGTGTGCAACTGTTGGCTGTTTACTTGCTGCGTTGTGTTTCCGAAGTATCGTCTTTTGGATATTCTATACCTCCTCAGTGAGTCAAACCGCAAAATTAAAATAGCTAGTCCTACTGTCATTCGATAAGCAGTACTGGTAGGAAATAAGTTGAGATTGAGGTTAAGGGGCATTTTGTCGAATGAGGGGGGGGGAGGTAAAATGGGGAGGCGCTATGTCGATTAAAGGAGAGCTAAAAGGCTGCGAGATTATGGAGAGTATGTGGCTTAAAAGAGCTGTTTGGAGGTTTTCTAGAATTCTATATTTTCGAAGAGTGATAGCTTTTTGTTACTTGTATTCTTTTTTTTTTGGTTCGTGACCACGTAAACCCGGGCATATTCCTTTCCTCTAAGATCGGGTAGATTTGGTTTTGCTTACTGAAGGATTATGTTCAGGCGAAGGGTTAAGGTATCGATGCGTATTTCTATATAAACTTCTTCACGTTCTTCTGCGGATTCTAGCTACTAAATCCATAAAAGCACTCTCACCTCCTAGGCTGATTTTCTTTTTGGTCTATGTACTCCTTTCTATCTTTTATATCTATTTCAGGAGGAACACCATTCCTACAGTACCCAGATTCCTTGTTAACAAATTAATAATAATGATTCAATTAAACGTGCTACCTGGTTCCCAATCGGGTCTATGAATACGTATATCAATATTTAGTGCGAAGTAAACTCGACTCTGCAGTTTGCCTTTATATAGGGCCCAAAACCTTCGCCTATTCCTCATCTTTTACCTTTCTACTCGTGCTGAGGTGAGTTGCATCAGCTAGACGTATATCGCTATTAACCGTTTCACATCTGCCAGTGTTGCCTCTTAGGCAACAGTGAGGTTGGTATGACACGTTGTGGTTAGTTGGAAGGGGGCCCACTCCCCTGTATCCTCTTTCTTAATATCCTTTGCAACTCTGAATTGATCAAGTAGGTCTGTTTCTAGTAGCCATTGTGCGGCAGCTTTTGCTGTTCTTTTCTTTCTTATGATTTTTTGGAGCTCTGTAGTACCTGTTTTCAGGGAGAGGTTTGCTCGAGGCTGAGTGACCAGGACAGAAGCTGAGTGTGTGTGGAAGTGTTTGCCGCCCAGTCCCACATGGGCATCCTGGGTCGATTCCTGGGACTCCAATCCTCTGGTCTCTGCTTTATTAATGATTCTATTTGCTATGATCTTTTCAATTACTTTAGCCACGGTATTTCCCAGCGCGATTGGCCGGTAGGTTTTTGGGAGTGAGTAGTCCTTCTTTTCCTTTCGTAGGACCACTGTAATAGACTCTATTGGAGTGGCAATCTCGCCATGCTGAATCGTCTGGTAGATCAGCTAGACTATCCAAGTAACATATGTACGTGTTGCATATACTTCTATACGTTTCTATATGCTTCCGCTCCTTCCCCAAACAGATCATGTAATCACATGATCTCATGTATATATTCATCTCTCTTTTCATCATAGATAGAATCAATCCATTCGTTCCAAAGACAATATTTGTGAGCACTTCCGCATGCTAGATACAACCTCCATCAGACTCCTTAAGGGGTTCGGGGAGCTCCAAGGCATTTAATATCCCAATAATTGTCTGTGCCATTTCGCTCAAAATGTTCCTTTGTAGACTTTTCGAGACTTCATTTGGGATTCCGTCGGAACCTGAGGCCTTTCCGTTGGGAATTTGCGCAGTACCTCACTGAGTTCCTCTCCTGTTACCGTGATATTCAAATCACGCAGAACGAGGGTCTGGGTCATATCAATATTGGAGTGATCCGCCTGGCCATTTTTAGGAAAGAATTTAGTACTAAGAACTTCTGCCTTATCACCATTGGTTGAGTTAAAAGGGTCATCTTTCGTTTTCCGAAGGGTAGGAATAATTGTAGGGACGATTAGGGTTCCTGTTAGTCTCCTACTTCATTTAAAGAACTTCCACAGACCTCTTTTGTACAGATGGTTCAGGATTATCGGAATCTTCTGTCAATGTGAGGGGGTCTGTGCAGCAAGGCTGCAAGAAGTAGGTTTTAATAAAGATGTATTCAATGAGGTCTGTAATAGACTTCCAAGGAGAGATTGTTATAAGGTTTCAGTATCAGGCAAACCACGTCCCGGGCCTGATTCAAGGAGATCACCTGACTAGACGCCGAAGGTCCCACCAGAAGGCTTTACATGGGCTCCAACCCATTACAGTCAATTCTTCAATGAACTTTCGACATCTTGATCTGCTATTTCTCCGGGGCTCTTACTGAAATTGAATACGGAAACACTTCCATCCTACTGTATCTTCTTCGTCACCTGTCTTCTGGAATCGTCTCCATGCCCGTCTAGCTACTGCTAATAGTCCCGCCGCCTTATATGACCATTCCGGTCGGGATCGGTCCCATAGTTAAATAAAGAGATGGTCCAATTTTTGTTCTCGTCTTGTTATCGTACCTGCCCATTCTTGGCGGTGGGCGTTAAAGTCCCACACTACTAGTGTTTGGCTATATTCCGTGAGGAGAGATTTTATTGTAAATCAGAAAGAGTACTTTTAAGCCACAATTCAGCTCTCTACTAGGGCGGTAGCCCTTTGGGTAGTATGTGACTTTGGGGATTCGTTCAGTATTATCGGTTCCTGGAGTGCAATAATCAGGTATTCCTTGGGGTCGAGACTGTCTAGAACGGTGTAGCCTTCTTATTGTTTTCATTTCTACAGTTGTATTGAATGATATTAATGTCCTCATTGAGTAGATGGTACGATTACTTCCTCTCGGCCGAGTGAGCTTTTTGATTGAGAGTGGAATAACTTGGTCTGGCTTGGTTGTTTGGCTGCTTTTGAAATGTTTGTCTGCCATCCTACGACCTTTCTTTTCTCTCTCTCTTCTACAGTTACCCATTCTGTGCTACCCATTAGAGACTTGAAACCTCCAGGCGCTACTGTAGAATTGTTTTCGGAGGTGAAGGTATAGGCCGACGAAGGTGAAATTGTCCCTCTCTGTACTAGAGCGGTCTTCTTAACCAGTTGTGCCTTGATCTCGGCATTTTGATCCTTAAACTTTTTAAACTCTGGGCACTTGCTCGTTTTCCAGGCAACATGTCCCTTCTTTCTGTAACCTGCACAGGAGGCATGTTCTCTACTGGTTTTTGTGCAGTGGTTGATAGCGTGTCGGTCTGCACAGTATCTGCAAAACTTATGTGGTGAGTTGCAGACAGACTGGTGGTGTCCCTATTTAAGGCATCGGAAGCATTGTTCTTCCTTAAGAGCAATACCCCATAGTTAGACTGGGAACCATCCTGCTCCCACGAACAGGCCCTCTCTGACGAGTTTATGTTGGATTCCTTCCGTTTCCACGGTTAGGATGATGTGATCCCTTCTTTGTCAACGGATTGTTTCTTCTCCTCTGTAGCTCTTGAGTCAAATATAACCATTCCACCCTTTCGAAGGTTACCCCTTTTTGTTTTCGTGCCTCAGCAAGCCACTTTTCATTTTCTTCGCTCTTCGAGTTTTGAATCTGTGTCTCCCAGTAGTATCCCTGATGCCATGATCAGGTATGGGCGTCGGACGAGTTCTATACCTCCCGCCCCTTGCAACCCAGTCTAGATAATCTGGTCTCGTCATCTTCCTTCCCGTACGATGGCGGAGGCCTTGTTAGACGCTCTCGGGTGGGGGATGATTGCCTTTGCGTCTAGAATCGTCTTCTGAATCTTCCTAAGATGTTCTTCAGATATTTCCTTCTCTGCATCCTCTGTTTCCTCCATACGCATCTCTACCTGTGCCCGAGGGTGATCTCCTCTGACTACACTGCTCCAGGTAGGTAAGCTTGCAGTCACCGGCCAGCTGGAGCCCCCCTCCCTGCACTAGCCTTGATCCTGACCAACTGTGAGGACAGAGCAATTGGCTAAAACCGGTATATTGCTAATAGAAGTTGATTCAACTATAAAAAGTGTTAACTATAGGTTTCCAGCTGAAGGTCAATGTTGGTGAAACATGCTAAAACTATGCCATGCCACTAATAGATCACGTGATAATGCGTGTAATGCAACCACATCGCAGTTGCAGCCACTGTGGGGGTAAGGGCTCGAACCTTCACACCAACATAGTGGGCCGGGCAGGTCAATTGGAGACAATGACACGTACAGCCTTAATGCAGATAAAGAAAAGGCTCGGGCCTCGGTATAGCCATGCATTGTTTGATCAAGAGAGGAATTTCACTGATAAAGACCCCAAAAAACGGAGGAAAGAGAAGTTTACACTTAAATTCCAATAGAGAAAAGGGGATCTTAAATCGGTATATGCAAAAATGGGAAGTGGGTATCTCGTTGTGGTGATGAAGGTAATAGTATATCCTTAATGAGATATAAGTAGTATTCCGTGCACCTATATAAAAGACCTTTATCTGTCATTATAAAATAGAATGTTTGAAACCCCCTTATTACCAAACAATCCCCCAATTATCTCACTTGTCCCCCACCCCCTCCAAACCACGTCCCTTATTCAAACCTGGAATTATCCCCACAAGTCCAGCTCATACTTCCCTCTTCATCATGGATCGCCTTCCCAGAAGCATACAATCCAATCCCACAAACCGCCACCCCAATCCCCACAATCACACAATTCAAGCCAGTCAAACACATCTTCCTCCAATCCCGCGTATACCACCCATAGTTCAAATACAACCAAAAAATGCCACTTAATCCAAAGGTAAACCATGATGCGAAGAGCGCGGAGATTAGCGCGAGCAGGTTGTTGAAGTTGGGGATGGACTCGGCAATGACCCAGGCGATGAGCCAGAGGATCAGCGTTATGAGCGCCCAGGAGCCGAAGGAGAGCCAGCTTCGAGAAGACATGTGCTTTGTGCCGCGGAAGA